AAAAAAATTCAACCCACCGAAAAGCAAAGGGCTTCTGAAAGAGGGAGAAAACCAATGAGCATTTAGGGGCAGTGGAGGCCTTCGAACATCTATTCTGCCTGGCGGGAGTTCCAAGAGGGACGTTCCTGCCAATCTGGGAAAACCTCTCTAATCTCTGCCATACACATCTTGACAGTCAGAGGGAAACATTTCTCAAAAGTGAGAGGCGTAATAAGACTGAAACAAATGATATCAGTAAGAGGAGAGAGAACCGGCATTTCTAATAGCTAGGAACTGACTCATTCCTCAGATGTGAGAGTACCCATGTTTTATTCATCAAAGGCCATCTGCATAACACTCACTATAGCCAAAAAAGAACCCTCTCTCTCGCTTCTTCTTTTCTGGATTGTTAGTAAGAGGGTAGCCAGCATTTCCGATAAAAAGCTGAGACACTTCGTTTGTCAAACGGTCATGGTGAGTAAATAGCACAGAGACGGGAAGATTGCGATGCGCATTTATACATCTCCACAAGGGACTGGTAGAGGAATACAATGGCGGCTGTGTAGAAATTAAAGGACAAGGTCTAGTACTTCTCTTTATTACATGCATGGTGCTTCCCCACATTTTATCCCTTTAAAAATGATTCATGTACAGAAAAATATCTAATGATTGAAAGAAATCCAGTGAGCTCCTGACGTCCTGTTTGGGCTGAATATTTCTTATTTTGGCTTTTACTTCCTCAGGAGTGCACAGGGGTCACTGGAGACGCAGGAGTGCACAGGGGTCATTGGAGACACAGGGATCACTGGAGACGCAGGAGTGCACAGGGGTCACTGGAGACGCAGGAGTGGACAGGGGTCACTGGAGACGCAGGAGTGGACAGGGGTCATTGGAGACACAGGAGTGCACAGGGTCTTTATTACATGCATGGTGCTTCCCCACATTTTATCCCTTTAAAAATGATTCATGTACAGAAAAATATCTAATGATTGAAAGAAATCCAGTGAGCTCCTGACGTCCTGTTTGGGCTGAATATTTCTTATTTTGGCTTTTACTTCCTCAGGAGTGCACAGGGGTCACTGGAGACGCAGGAGTGCACAGGGGTCATTGGAGACACAGGGATCACTGGAGACGCAGGAGTGCACAGGGGTCACTGGAGACGCAGGAGTGGACAGGGGTCACTGGAGACGCAGGAGTGGACAGGGGTCATTGGAGACACAGGAGTGCACAGGGGTCATTGGAGACACAGGAGTGCACAGGGGTCATTGGAGACAGGAGTGCACAGGGGTCACTGGAGACAGGAGTGCACAGGGGTCACTGGAGACACAGGAGTGCACAGGGGTCACTGGAGACACCGGAGTGCACAGGGGTCACTGGAGACACAGGAGTGCACAGGGGTCACTAGAGACACAGGAGTGCACAGGGGTCACTGGAGACACAGGAGCGCACAGGTGTACCTGACAACACAGGAGCGCACAGGGGTACCTGAAAACACAGGAGCGCACAGGGGTACCTGAAAACACAGGAGCGCACAGGGGTACCTGAAAACACAGGAGCGCACAGGGGTACCTGAAAACACAGGAGCGCACAGGGGTCACTGGGGAAACAGGAGTGCACAGGGAGCACTGGAGACACAAGATTTCCTTGAAAACACAGGCGGGCACAGGTGTACGTGAAAACACTGGAGTGCACAGGGGTCACAGGAGTGCACAGAAGTTGTTAACCCCTTTAGTGTTAGTGGGTGCATGCGCACATTAACTTGCAGGATACCCACAGATGACAGCTGAACTAGACGGCAGTCCTCAGTACCGGGCACAGTCTTCATATCTGCACATTCCCCCTCAGTCTATCACTACTCTATGTTGTGTTCATGGAAATTATATCACAGCCTCACAATATCAGCAAGGTAACCCTTCTTCCTCCGCACACCATTTACTGTGATGAACGGAGAACATAAACAATGTGTCACTCTATCTGCACTACTCCCACTAACCATGTGTAATGAATGGGGAATATAAACAATGTATCCAGCCTCCAGGACACCCACTACCAAAGACCCATAAGCTATGCCAATTAGGATTATATAATAAACAGCACAGAGGTCTACTTTGTACTGTTTTACTACATTCGTTCAGAAGATAAAATACCCCAAGAGCATTAATCCAGAATAGAAGATAGCCTAGGAGGATTCATGCAGAAGAACATTCGATTTGGCCCCATTCTCACAACAGTTGGTTAACGCGCACAGAATGAAAATACATGCAGTTTGACTGGATGAATACATAATTTTTTTTATAAATAGACCCCTTAGAAGTTTGTTTATATATATTGTACAGGACGCCGGGGCTGGGTCCTGGAAGGACGCTATATTTCCCCTCTGTTTGGACTGTGGTCCTTTTAAGGGATGAGACGGGGTTAACTCACCTGCTGTAGGAAGTGTGTGTTTAAAAGACAGGAAGTGGTCACCCTACCTCCACACCAATCTTAAAATGCCAGAAAATTCTATCACAAACCCCCATTTATCATAAAGCTGTCAGCACGAAATCACCTGGAACGGAGGTAAAAATTGAGCTCAAGCCTCGGAATTTTTTTTAAAGTAACTATTATCTAAAGGAATATAAAGATTAACAAAGGGGGACAGTGAAGAGCGGCCTCAGGAGAGCGATGAGATGGTTTCCTTATGAGCTCTGCAATGGCGGTTACAAGTTGAATAACCTTTTCTTGGATCGTTCACCGGTTCTGGTGCTAACGGAACATTCATTTCTCAGCTTCTCAGCTGGAGATGAACATTAAAATCCACAGGAGGATTGGAGGACGAGATGGAGGTTTAATAGGAAATGCCTCAGGATTCAAAGCAAAGACTGGAACTAGCAGATGTCTAACTAGACACTGTGAATTAGGCTACTGGGAAGAGCAAGGAGCAAACCACAGTGACCAATCAGAAATCAGCTTTTAGCAGGTAAGAACATACAGACTCTGTGTGAGTGGATGAAGTAGCATTTATTTTCAATTGCTATTTGCCTGATTGAAGGTTATAACTACCAAAAACATCTACTTATGCGTCTGAAGGAATTCAGTAGTAACATCTACTTATATGTCTGAAGTACATCAGTAGTAACATCTACTTATACGTCTGAAGGACTTCTGTAGTAACATCTACTTCTACGTCTGAAGGACGTCCGTGGTAACATCTACTTATACGTCTGAAGGACTTCAGTATTAACATCTACTTATACGTCTGAAGGACTTCCATAGTAACATCTACTTATACGTCTGAAGTACATCAGTAGTAACAGCTATTTATACGTCTGAAGTACATCAGTAGTAACATCTACTTATACGTCTGAAGTACATCAGTAGTAACATCTACTTATACGTCTGAAGGACTTCAGTAGTAACATCTACTTATACATCTGAAGTACATCAGTAGTAACAGCTATTTATACGTCTGAAGGACTTCAGTATTAACATCTACTTATACGTCTGAAGTACATCAGTAGTAACATCTACTTATACGTCTGAAGTACATCAGTAGTAACAGCTATTTATACGTCTGAAAGACTTCAGTAGTAACAAATGAAAGTCTAATGGCAACTTCGATTGTTGTCAAAGTGGCCCCAACTGGGAACTCGGGAGCAGATAATACAACATTGAAGCTCTCAACAGCAGGGTGGAGTTGGGAACGCAGGTGCCGATCCCTTAAAGACAAAAAACCTATGCAGTACATCTCTCCAATAAGCACAACTTTCCCCATATGTAATCCCTTTAAAGCCCAACTCCAGGCAGATGGCTGTCCGCACTGCAAGGGTGAACTGCTTCTTAACTCTAGGGGGGCAGGCATAAGGAGTAATACTTACTCTACAGTACTCTTTGCTTCGGAAGGGCCCTCCCTCCATCCCACAAAGCCTTCTCTCTAAGGTGCTCCTGGCTGCGGGCGCACACTTGCCTCCTCCATGTTCAAGGCAAGGTTAATAGCCCTACATTGTATGTGATGACGCTGAGGGACCTCTCACCCACAGCCCGGAGCATCGAGGAGAACAGGGGAGAGTGGGAGCCTGCTGGGGTTTAAAGTAAGAGAGACTGGGGTTTAAGGTAAGTAATATTTTATCTTCTTGTACCCCCTAGAGCAGGGCTGGACCAATCCCTAGATCAAAGTAGCCAATGCTCCTTAAAAATTACAGCTGGGGGCCAGCTTTTCAGGTTTGCTGCAAGGTTTTTTTTTGTCATGTGCCTGGAGCTGGACTTTATAACAGAACTCTGGGTAAAAATTATATTAACCCTTGAAGTGGGGCTATCCTCGCACTGCAAGGGTTAAGTGCTCATTTTTGCCTAGGGTAAAAAGTAAAAAAAAATGATACTCACCCAAAACCTCCTGGCCGGCTTGTTCTTAGGCTGGTCCCTGGAGCCTCTCTCCCCCTCCTCTGGTCTATGGTCGCTGAGTGATCATGTTCTTTGCACTGTGTATAGGACGTGAGGGACATACCATCGCTGCAGTGTAGGAGCAGACAGGCAGGAGGGCGGGCTCTCACAGATGGCCGTCTCAGAGGATCAGGTGACTATAACTTTATTCATTTTGACCCTAAGCAAAAATGAGCACTTAACCTTTGCAGTGTGGGGATAGCCACACAAACCCAGTGCGCTCCCAACTTCCTATGGTGTGCTGACGCCTCCAGTGCACTGAAATCCCAGTACAGCCCTGCCCAGTTATTTCCTGCTGGATACAGTACACCTCCACTTATAAAATGCAGGTGAGGAACTAGAAGGTGTTCTGTAGTCAAGCAGAGGAGAACTGGGCACGGCTGACAACACTGGTTGGGATTTCTGTGCAGCAGAGGCACAGTGCTGTCAGCTCAAACAGGACATTAGGCGCAAACTGGATTCCTGGCAGGATTCTGGCAGGTATTTTGCATTTGTAAAGGGCCACACGGGGCTATGTTCATGTGAGATGTACTGCATAGGTCTGTGTCCTGACATGCACGTTAAAATGAATAATACAGTATTAATGAGACGCATCATCCTACCTTGTGAACTTCTGTAGCTTGGAGGATGACTCGGGAACAAACAAGGGAATTGTCTTCTTATGTCTTGAAAACAAAAACACAAAGTTATATGAATATTACAAAGCACGTACTAGAGGCCATACAACAGCAGCACACAGCCGGAAGAAGGTGGCCATCTTACCAAACCTTGCAAAGTCTTCTGGGAAACCCTATTTACATGCTAAAGAGCTGCCTAGGAAAGCCTAGGAGCAATTACTCCTTTGTACCTTTGTATATTGTCAAGGCAGCCATTTCATTGTCTTCCAAACCTTTCAGAAGAACTCAGAAGTCTGTACAAAGAAGAGACTAAAGCCTAATAAACAATCACACGGTAAGATGTTTTCACACATGGGAATATACTTTATGAAGCACAAAGTCTTGCAGATGCCGATAATTAAAAGTAGATGCTTATTTCCTCTGCCCACAGAGAACTGATATTTTCTAATAATCTAAAATGGATTAAAGTTGGGCTCCGGCTTTCCCTTCACTCTTGCACAGTTGTACCGGCTCCACTCCTGGACTGGTAAAGGAGGCTTCCAGGGGCGTCCTGAGTGTCACCCGGAGCGGAGACTGGTTGACATGCACGTAATCGCACATACGCAGCCATCTTATTGATCCCTGCCGGCAGCCATCTTGGTGATGGACGCCTGGAGAGAGAGGAGGGGACAGTCACTGGCGGGATCAGGTATGCCGCCGGGTCCCCTCCTCTCTCCCGAAACTGTCGAGCTCTCTGTCCATGAGTGAGTGCCTGACTTTTCAGAGGGGGTAACACCAAAATGATTGTCAGTCATTTTGGTGTCACCCCTCCAATGGTGTCACCCGGGTGCAAGCCAAAACCCCGTTGGCACAATCTGTGCTTGATCAACTTCTTTTGAACTTCTTTGAAGTGCAAAGGTGACATTAGGGCAGGGGTGCCCTTTAGGTAGATCGTGATCTACCAGGAGCTCTCAAAGCTGATGCTGGTAGATCAGAAAGGGTGGGAATGGCGGCCCCTTTATTCCATTTTGGTATATTTATTTAGAGAGCAAGGAGAGACAGCCAGGGGAGAGAGCAAGGAGAGACAGCCAGGGGAGAGAGCAAGGAGAGACAGCCAGGAGAGAGAGCAAGGAGAGACAGCCAGGAGAGAGAGCAAGGAGAAAGAGAGACAGCCAGGGGAGAGAGAAAGGAGAGACAGCCAGGGGAGAGATCGAGGAGAGACAGTCAGGGGGGAGAGCAAGGAGAGACAGTCAGGGGGGAGAGCAAGGAGAGACAGTCAGGGGGGAGAGATCAAGGAGAGACAGCCAGGAGAGAGAGAGCGAGGGAGTTTTTTTTTCCGCTGGTAGATCTCATGTAGCTCGTCATTTGAAAAGTAGATCTTAACACAAAAATTGTGGACACCCCTGCATTAGGGTCTAAGAGACCCCTAATGTCACTTTCAAGAGAACCTTTAAAGTGACATTAAACCTTCAGATTTTTTAACATAAACCAATACTGTAATGTGCGCCTTCCTGTAATCCATGGTAGTTTCCCTTCTCTTTGCTGCTCTTCCTTTTAAATCCTCATGTCTTCTCATGCTGGGCAGAACTTCTGTTTTGCAGCAGACTGCCTTGTCTCAGGAATGGATACATGGTGTCTGTGTATCCGTTTGTATAGGCTTGAAACCTGAGCCAACACTACAGGAAGAGGCCCTGAGCTGAAAAGGGAAGTTCTGCCCAAGCATGAGAAGACATGAGGATTTAAAAGGAAGAGCAGCAAAGAGAAGGGAAACAACCATGGATTACAGTAAGGCGCACATTACAGTATTGTTTTATGTTAAAAAATCTGAGGGTTTATTGTCACTTTAACCTCCAATGTGCCATCACTTTGGGGGCTTGTAAGCACCCCTATATGATAGCAATGCAGTTAGGTTAAAAAAAATACATTTAAATATACCCCCCCAAATTTTTTAAGTCCCCATCCCTGCAAATGCGTGCATATTAACGCAAACATGCCTATGTACAAAAAAGATGATTGCGCCACATGTGAGGTAATACCGCATGAGTCAGAGTAAGAGCAATAATTCTAGTGCCAATATTCACATTTAACTCTAAACTGATGACCTGTCCGGACTTTTAAAGTGTCACCTATGGACAATTTGGGGTACCATAATTTTTTGCTGTTTTGCCAGTGCATGCAATTTTTAAACTGGGCATGCTGGGTATCTATTTACTTGGCATAACCTCATCTTTTATCATTTATACGAATGCAACGATACTAGTATTAGGGTCAATACTGTAATGTGCGCCTTACTGTAATCCATGGTAGTTTCCCTTCTCTTTGCTGCTCTTCCTTTTAAATCCTCATGTCTTCTCATGCTGGGCAGAACTTCTGTTTTGCAGCAGACTGCCTTGTCTCAGGAATGGATACATGGTGTCTGTGTATCCGTTTGTATAGGCTTGAAACCTGAGCCAACACTACAGGAAGAGGCCCTGAGCTGAAAAGGGAAGTTCTGCCCAAGCATGAGAAGACATGAGGATTTAAAAGGAAGAGCAGCAAAGAGAAGGGAAACAACCATGGATTACAGTAAGGCGCACATTACAGTATTGTTTTATGTTAAAAAATCTGAGGGTTTATTGTCACTTTAACCTCCAATGTGCCATCACTTTGGGGGCTTGTAAGCACCCCTATATGATAGCAATGCAGTTAGGTTAAAAAAAATACATTTAAATATACCCCCCCAAATTTTTTAAGTCCCCATCCCTGCAAATGCGTGCATATTAACGCAAACATGCCTATGTACAAAAAAGATGATTGCGCCACATGTGAGGTAATACCGCATGAGTCAGAGTAAGAGCAATAATTCTAGTGCCAATATTCACATTTAACTCTAAACTGATGACCTGTCCGGACTTTTAAAGTGTCACCTATGGACAATTTGGGGTACCATAATTTTTTGCTGTTTTGCCAGTGCATGCAATTTTTAAACTGGGCATGCTGGGTATCTATTTACTTGGCATAACCTCATCTTTTATCATTTATACGAATGCAACGATACTAGTATTAGGGGCGAGTACTTATCACCAGAGAGCATGGAGTCTGCTTCCCTGCCAATCAGGACGCCGGGCGCCGTGTAGTGACTCGCAGCCCAGCTTCCTGACTGGTCAGGAAACTGGCCAATCAGGAAGCCAGACGGCGAGTCATTACCCACCCCCCCGCTTCCTGATTGACCAGAAAGCTGGCTCCATGCTTCCTCGTCACCTGGTGATGAGGTAGCATGGAGCCGGCTTCCCGGCCAATCAGGAAGCCGGGCGCCGTGTAGTGAGTTGCAGCCCAGCTTTCTGACTGGTCGGGAAGCTGGCCAAACAGGAAGCCAGACGGCGAGTCATTACCCGCCCCCCGGCTTCCTGATTGGTCAGAAAACCAGGTCCATGCTTCCTGGGTTTTAAGTAATTTTTAGGCCTAAGATGTAGATTATAACATGTGTGCAAAAAATGCAAAACCAGCTCTGGCAGCCAAAGAGTTAAGCTGCAAGAACAATTTCAGTTCAACTGCCGTTGAGTGAACACATGAACTGCGGATCAGGGATCAGGTAGGCCAAGCTGTGTCTGTAGGCGTTAAGCAGCCATATTTGTTCTGTCCGCCTGCGCCAAGTGTGATTTATTGGATGAATTACGGCAAAGTGTATTGGAGCTCCAGTAGGTAATCCTTTAAATTAAAGCAGAGGATCTCCGGGCTTAGGATCTGGCAAACAGAAAGAGTCACTTTCGCTTCTACCCTCAGCTTTAGGAAGTGCATTTAAAGGGAGATTATAGTATTTTGTCGGCGAGCACACATATTTTTGTTTTATTGCAGCGTTTGTCATAAAATTTTCTTCATGTGACTGTAGGATGGGCTCATCCAGACGGACAGATGTCCATACTGCATGCACGCCTGTAACATGACCTGATCTTGGGAGGGACAAGCGCTGCGTGTAAATGCGCACAGCAGCATGTTCTTCCCTATGGGAGGACGCAGCTGCAGGCAATTACACACAGTCATCTGTACAGGTCCAGGTGCTCACACGTGGGCGCACATTGTCTGTGTCCTCCCATAGGCTAGAACAGGGTGCTGCGTGCAATTACACACAGTCATCTGTACAGGTCCAGGTGCTCACACGTGGGCGCACATTGTCTGTGTCCTCCCATAGGCTAGAACAGGGTGCTGCGTGCAATTACACACAGTCATCTGTACAGGTCCAGGTGCTCACACGTGGGCGCACATTGTCTGTGTCCTCCCATAGGTTAGAACAGGGTGCTGCGTGCAATTACATACCACCTGTTCCTTTCAGGATAAGGTAATTTACGGTCTGAATGAGCCCTTACATTTATCTCTTCTTACTTTTTTGTTTTTTTAATTAAACATAAAGACAGGTAGATTAGTCAATAGAGGCAGAGATGCTACAATGACTCTGTATAATTATTTATTAATTGACAGTTGTTGAGATAAGATACAAGCCGCACAGGCAGTGTATTGTTTTCAATGGGTCAGCTGACTCATAGGCTTGCATTATGTGAAGGTGCAGTAAAGTAGAACCATTGTGTAATGCTGCAAAGCCTACATATGCAATGAGCAATTATGGCTGCCACCCTGTACATACATCATTTAAATGATGAATAATAAGATTATTTACATTAAAGTGATACTTAACTCAGGAAATAAATCTTAAAAATCCATTCAAGTACCCCAACTATTAACAAAAATGTATCTTATTTGTGTGTCACTCGGCTGTAGATCCTCAAATCATCTCTGAATTGGTGCTGACACTGTCCTTCCTTCTGGAGGGTGGCTACTTGTGTTCCTCATGGTCCCTGTGTGTGTTGTAAAGTAGTCACCGCTCCAAGCTCGCTCCCTTTATGGACTACAATCTCAATACAAATCAGTAAACTAAACATGAGATTGTAGTCCATCCCGGGAGTGAGCTTGGAGCGGTGACTACTTTACAACACACACAGGGACCATGGGGAACAAAAGTAGCCACCCTCCAGAAGGAAGGACAGTGTCAGCACCAATTCAGAGATGATTGGAGGATCTACAGTGATACACTCAGTCCTTATTTAGGTACAATCAGCACCTCTGAGCAAGAACTGCTGAGATCAAATCTCGGCCATGTAAATCCTTGACTATTTTTAGTCAGTCCCGGCTTTATAGCGTCCCATACCTTCCTGGAGTAAAGGGGAGATGAACGGCTCCATAACCTCTGACAACGTCGTTCCCAAAGGCGTCCGGTCCATAGACGCTGATCACAATCTGCGGCCCTGAAACACAAAACCGAGACCTTCACTCTAGAGGTTAAGAAAACATTATCCTTGTTTACAGCTAAGTAGAGTATGGAAACCGGTTCAAGCCGCGATGATATCTTTCATAGCGGAACTGATATAAGGATCCAAGAAGTCCGGATGTCATTCTCTGATCTGTGTCAGACATTTGCAAACACAGCTAGGAAATGCACAGGCACCAGGATTCACATGACATGTCATCACTGAGATGCTGATCCTGGAGGATGCCTGATGACACAGTTGTTCTGCAGGGAAATGTAGATGAAGACATGGTCAGGGGGGAGTACTGTGATCTCTGCAAAATGTTATAAATACATATTTAGCATGCATGTGCTTACCATGAGTCTCCTGCAGACAGCCGTGAATGTAACCATGTTACTTCTGCAGCCGGGCAATGACAGCTGAGGGACCCACAGTGCTGCAATCAGCATCCCTTCCGGCCCCATTTAGTGGGGAGGAGATCAGCGAATGTACGTTCACCGGTCTCCTTCCCTGTGACGCTGGTCCCGGGAAGCCAGGCAGGTGTGTCAAGCGGGGCGCACTACACTGGCCCCTGGAAGTGATCGGGCGGAATCGCTTCCAGTGTAAAGCCGACAGTCGGCTTCGCACATGTAAATGGAGTCCCGGCGGCGTCTGTTTAAAGCGGCCCGCTCCCAGTGACACATTCGGCGGCAGTGAAAGCGTTAAAGATGGCCAATACCGGTGATGTCTGAATAGGCCGCCCCAAGTCCCAGAGCAGCCTAGCTAAAGTCACTGCACCGCTTCAAAGAAAGACTTCACCCTCCCAGTGCCTTATGTGAGCCATCAGAGACCCAGCACCAATCTCTCCCATACCAACAGGATGACACACGTGAACATAACATGCGACAAGTTACATATGCAATGTAGACTCTGCCCAACAGCAACACCCGCCGGGGGGCCTTCTCTGATGGAAGCAGAGCTTTGATGAGTCCGTTCACAAAGCAGACCTTCCAGAGCCTCGGCAGGATTTGAAGCGCCGGCCACAAGAGCTGGTCAAAGGAAAGAGAATGTGGAGTTTGTACTGAACATCAGAGCCCCTCGTCCGACGCCGATAACGCCTTCCAGAAGAAAGCATCTGCCTGGTTCTAGCAATGAAAGAGATGTGACCTGTGATGGCGGCTTTGTATAAAATCAATGCCGGCCCGCCGCAAGACGTTTCATATTTTATCAGACTGCAAACAGGCGGATCGCCGGGGACAACATGAAATAAACAACGAGTTCTAGAGCTCTACATCCGTGCCCGCGGGGACACACATACACACACACACACACACACACACACACACACCAAGGAGTCTCCGTTCAGCTGACAGCGTTACTTGTTTGTAAAGTTACTTGAAAACAGAGCATTGAGCAGCGACCAAAATCCCGAAAAGGACCAACCGTCCCGCCACAGATCTTCATCAGGGCGCTTAAAGTAATATTAAACCCTAAATCTTTTTATCAATGATGAATCCAAATGTACAATGCCCAGCCAATTAATACTTTATATTGATGCCCAATCACTTAGTCATCATTTTTCTGAACAGCTCCTAATCTCTCAGCTCAGCTTCCCTGAACTTCCTGTCCAAGATCACAAGGGACAGAGCAGGCTCCAGGAGCCATCCATCTACTAGCATGGAGAAAGAAGGAGGGTGGAGAAGGTGGCAGGGGAATGAATTGTCTTGCTGTGTCTGTGTGTTTGTGGAGACACACGCAGCTTACTAGCACACACAAGGGTGGCTCCATAGGACCCTGCAAGGGAAAGGAGCCACCCTAAAACAGGATATCAGGACCAGTGCTGCTCCATAGGACCCTGCAAGGGAAAGGAGCCCCTCTAAAACAGGATATCAGGACCAGTGCTGCTCCATAGGACCCTGCAAGGGAAAGGAGCCCCTCTAAAACAGGATATCAGGACCAGTGCTGCTCCATAGGACCCTGCAAGGGAAAGGAGCCCCTCTAAAACAGGATATCAGGACCAGTGCTGCTCTATAGGACCCTGCAAGGGAAAGGAGTCACACTAAAACAGGATATCAGGACCAGTGCATCTGCCGGTAGATCCATGCCTGTGGCTTGCAACGCCTCATGTGATTTGTAGCTCCACCACTGCTAGAGAGCCAGAGGAATGCAGAGGGCATCCGCCAGAGGAATGCAGAGGGCATCCGCCAGAGGAATGCAGAGGGCATCCGCCAGAGGAATGCAGAGGGCATCCCCCTGAGGAATGCAGAGGGCAACCGCCAGAGGAATGCAGAGGGCAACCGCCAGAGGAATGCAGAGGGCAACCGCCAGAGGAATGCAGAGGGCAACCGCCCGAGGAATGCAGAAGACACCCCCGAGGAATGCAGAAGACACCCCCGAGGAATGCAGAAGACACCCCCGAGGAATGCAGAAGAAACCTCCCGAGGAATGCAGAAGACACCCCCGAGGAATGCAGAAGACACCCCCGAGGAATGCAGAAGACACCCCCGAGGAATGCAGAAGAAACCGCCCGAGGAATGCAGAAGACACCCCCGAGGAATGCAGAAGACACCCCCGAGGAATGCAGAAGACTCCCCCGAGGAATGCAGAAGAAACCCCCGAGGAATGCAGAAGAAACCCCCGAGGAATGCACCGTCTACCTCTCTGCTTCCTGTATCAATAATAACATTTAACTTCCAAAAGCAAGTCTGAATATGACTGGCGGCTGTGTAAACGTCTCACTGTTATGTGCTTGGATCAGCCTGAGAGAGGCCGCAAGGAGTCCCTATGGGTGTGTTTGGGAACCCCCCTACAAAACAGGTGTTCCCAGATCGCTGGATTACAGATAAGAAGGACCGGGGTGGACTGATCTCTACACCAGTGCTGGGATGCCAGGCAGACTCCTCCTCTTCAGGGTTTCCATTTCAATTCGGACCGGAGCGCGCCTTTCATAGATTTGCTCTTCTGCACAGCACGGCGCTGATTGCTGGCTTTGCATGCGACCGGAGTCCAGCGGGATGGCGCCGATACCATTTCATAACCTTATACCATTAATACATGCAAATACCGTTTCCATGACAACAATGGAAAGCGTATGCCGAAAAACAGTCAGTATACAAAAGTCATAAAACACTTCCACATTGTTCACGCTGTGCATATAAACGCTCTCTGCGTGTCTTACCGGTTAGGAATCGTTAATTACAATGTGCCTCTCGCAGGAATAAACAGGAAACACATAGATTTGTCTGCGCTGGATAAAGCTGAACTCTAGACACACAGGAATGCAGCTCTGTAATGATTATCATTAAATGTATAACATGCAAGCACCTGAACTTGAGCTGGCATCTGCGACCTTGTACAGCAGGGCTGGAGCGTGAAAGGAAGAAGCTGCACAAGGAGAGAAGCAGTTCATGTGCTAACAAGAGGCATGCTTATAGAAGGAGAGAGCAGAGTGATGGAGGGAGAGATGAGCTCTTTAATGAGCTGCTTCTCCTTTCAATATCATTATTATGTATTATTAGGGACGGCATAGGTCACTGTTGGCACTGACCCATCGCTGCACTGCTTCGCCTTTCAATATCCAGTCAGAGGCTGGGGATGGTTCCAGGATGACCTGGGCTCACAGGTGCACAAGTGACTGCATGGTCTACATGGCAACAAAGGGGAGGGTGCCATGACTGTGCCCCCTGACCTCACGTGTGCACAAGTGGTCGCAAGGTCTACATGGCAACAAAGGGGAGGAGCCATGGCTGAGGCCCCTGACCTCATGGGTGCACAAGTGACTGCATGGTCTACATGGCAACAAAGGGGAGGGTGCCATGACTGTGCCCCCTGACCTCACGTGTGCACAAGTGGTCGCAAGGTCTACATGGCAACAAAGGGGAGGAGCCATGGCTGAGGCCCCTGACCTCATGGGTGCACAAGTGACTGCATGGTCTACATGGCAACAAAGGGGAGGAGCCGCGACTGAGCCCCCTGACCTTACAGGTGCACAAGTGACTGCATGGTCTACAAGGCAACAAAGGGGAGGAGCCATGACTGAGCCCCTTGATCCCATAGGTGCACAAGTTACTACATGGTCTACATGGAAACAAAGGGGCCATGATAGCTGTCGTACTCACCCAAATGCTCAGATACCTTCCCCGATACCGGAACTTTCGGTCAGAGGAAGGTTTCCCCTGACCAGCAGTGCTGCGAGGGAACATGGAGCCGGCTTCCGGAGCATGCCTGTTTTAGTGTAGGGTTGCGCCGATACTGAGTATTTGGGCGAGTACTCGTACTCGTACTCACCCAAATGCTCCGATACCTTCTTCCTGTTTGGCTGGGAAGCTGGCTCGATCCTGATTGGCTGGGAAGTCAGCTTCCCGGCTAATCAACACTGAGCCAGCCAAACAGCATGCAGCCAGCTTCCCGAGCAATCAAGAAGCCGGACGGTGAGTAATGACCAGCCGCGCAGCTTCCTGATTGCCAGGGAAGACGGCCCCATAGTAGTGGAATCCTGAAGTCCTGAAATATAAATATCGGCACTACCTACTCCATACCGAAAAAACAGTATCGGTGCATCCCTACCAATTACAATGCTGATGTTATAACAGGAGAGGATGTGCTGGGACTTTACAACTCCTTTAATCCTAACAATGGTAGAAGCACAATGGGGGGAAATTATCAAAGCTGGAGCAGAAATGCATGGCAACCAATCAACTTCTCTCTTTCCTTTTCAAATCTTAACTGAACAAACTGAAGAGAGAAGCTGATTGGTTGCCGTGCACAGCTGCTCCAGTTTTGATAAATTCCCCTCCAATGTGTCACACAAGGAACAGCCGCACATACTTACATCCGTAGGGATTGGTACTTTTGAACGTTATCTCAATAGGGAAGTTCCACACAATCTCTTGCTTTATATTTCTGTTTTTAGAAGCAATCTGGGATATTCCTTCTTCCACCCCCTGAAACATAGAAAGATTCTTCTGATTAGGACAAATACTGATAAGCTGCAGCTACAGAGGATATGAAGGGCTGAGAGTCAAAAATGATACGTTGGTGCCACCTAGTGGTAGAAGTGCAAACAGCAAATTCATGTTTCTTGTATAAAGATGAAGGCGGCTGTAACGAGAGGAAAGATGATCCTTACATTGATTTAGATGTCTGCAGGAAGTGGGCCGGTAACATTTGTGATTAAATTGGACCTGCATATAGTTCTGCATATTAAACATCTGGCCCCTTCCTCCCCAGCCTAACTGTCCCTGGCCCCACCCCTTTCATTCATTGGATTTCAGTTATTTCAATCGTGGAGGAGCCAGCCCGCTACTTGCATCAGGGTTGAAGGCTCTTGAGAGGTGTGGTGAAGCAGGGTGCTGTGATGTTTTCAGGAACCTATGTAAAGCACCCTGCCGGCCCCTCCCACCAGCCATGATCTGCCTCGTTGCATAGAGAAGCACAGTGACTAAGTGATGATGTTACTGGGTCTAAAATAAAGTATGTAATGAGGCAGAAAGGAAGGGGGGGGGGGGGAAGCAGGGAAGGCAGAATACATTTCAACTCAGTTCTCCTGAGGAAGCCCAGAAGTGACGTCATCATGTATGGAGTACAGTCCTAGTCTCAGAGGCAGCAGGAGAGGGGGACTGAGCACAATAGCTCGGCAATATAATAGCACCAGAAATGTGTTTTACTGTTTCTAATCCTTTATTAAAGTGTTCGGTTTTACACTATGGATCTTTCCTTACCTGGGGAAGAGATGGCACCAGGAGGCACTATGGGAAGAAGGCAAGCTGGCGAGAGTTCGTCGAGTGTGGTCGGGATTTTTCTTTTTTTAATTTTCCTATTTTTTTAACATTTTTAAAATAAATTTTCAACTTTTTTTTTCCTCCATTCATTTCACTTATTTTCTATTCTGCTTGGTACCTCAGAGGTACTGAGCAAAATATCACTTTGGCTCACCTGAGCATGCAGAGCATGTTTGGCTGACCGCAGGCTGCCGATGTACGGCTGAAATCATCTGTACAAGGCTGAAGTGAATAGCTGAACAGCGTTCGGCTCGGTTATTCACTCGGCTGCCTTCTGCAGCTTTGTGAATAACCCCCTTGGTGTTTGTGGGTTCAGATACAGCAGGAGCAATGGAGGCCGTGCACAGCTCTTAAAGAAGAACTATGAGGTGAGTGCTTTTCACTCACCTCATAGTTCTAGCCGACCTGTGACAATGAAACTGTCACAGGTCGGCTCGGAGGATCGGGAGGTGAGCGAACACATACCGGCGTTCGCTCACCTCTCGATCCTGTTACGGCTCTCTGCTGTGACAGAGGAGGGGCTGGATTCCCCCCTTCCCGCTCCGATCCGCCAGCGCTGACTGGCGTGACGGATGGGGGAGGGGGCGGGTACAGCTGGCTCTGCCTCTAGATAGGCAGATCCCTGCACAATTGTCAGGATCCGCTTCAGCTGTGGCGTCTCAGTATACCGCGAGCTAGAGCTCGTGGTATACTGAGCCTAGGGTGACGGGAGGACGCTAGTTTGTGTCCTCCGGTCACCCTAAGGAGAACTATGGGGAAAAGCCTTAACCCCATAGTTCTCCTTTAATTTTTGGAGCTATACATGAGCATGAATATTTATAATATATTCGCAGAAAGAGATTTGTGGGAAATTAAACTTGGAAAGATAAAAGCAGTGTTTGGTCCCGTTGTACATACAAAGAGTCTGAACGCTCCCTCCACTTATATCAAAATAATGACTAGATACATTTGCGGAACAACTTTCCAGACAAAACGTATTTACAATAACGGAAAGGCGCTGGATGTTCCTAGAAATGTCATTAGCGGCCCCGTTCACTGAGAAATAAAGCCATTTACGTAGCTCACTCCTGGAAAAGGTCTTGTCTGTATAATGGGATTTAGATAATAATAAAATTGGAGTGAAATACAGAGTCAGGGAAATGATAAATGAGTCGGGGGAAGTCTCCCAGGAAACCACAAATGCTAATTACTATCTCAGGTCTGCCGGTAGCTTTTAGAAATGTAATCCTCTTCCCGTGTGTAGAGAGAGAACTTGAAAGCCGAAGTTGAATCTGCTTATATAGTGCCGTCCCTGGTTCCTGCTTTGCACCTTTATTAATGTGCTAATGACATTGTTATACAAAACATTTCCGCTTTAATGAAATACCTTATGTTAGACCCGGTGATGTCATCAACAGGTCCCTGTGCTTCTCTGTGCAATGCAGACAGATCATGTGTGGGTTGGCTCTTGGGAGGAGTTATGCAAGTATCAAAATACACTGATGTGTGGGTATCGGTCTGGGGGAGTGGGTGTTCCTAAGCAGGGTGCCTTTGCATGTAGACTGCCCTAGGTAATGCCCACATGTGATGCTGAGCCTCCATAATTGAAAGAGGTGAAATTCATTGAATGAAAGGGGCGGGCCAGGGACAGTCAGGCTGAGGAGGAAAGAGGTAGATGATGTTGAACATCGCCCAGCCAGGAAATGAGGCGGGCTCTATATAACTTGTTGTAGCTTCTAATGCACACTGTGAGAACGTTTTACTTTTTATTCCCTTGCTAGGAAATGTGAGAGTCAACTCCCTGGCACAGCTCCCTCTCATCTCTATGGGGAAGCAGTGGTCTCTCCACAGAGGTCCGATATGCCCCCTGTTGTGTCAGAGCCCGGAAGCATGAGCTTTGCTGACTGCAGATCTATAGGTCTGACTCAGCAGGGAGAGTGTCGGACCTCTGCAGAGAGATCACTGCTTCCACACAGAATGCAAGGGGCCCACTCTGCAGCTGCTGGCAGGGGACAGGCTTTTCTACTAAGCAAAGTAAGATGTGGCATTGTAAACCTCTCCACATCAGTGGTGGCCAGTGGCACTTTAAAAAAACATTCCCCCACAATCACTGGTGACCAGTGGCACTTTAACCCTCCCTCCCCTATGAGTCAAAATCCTTCCTCTGTTGCTGCTTTTCTCCTCCTCTCCTTCGTGTCATCCTTTCATCAGGCTGCAACCCAATATCCTCCATTGTGAGAGGAAGAGGAGGGTCCTCACATGTAAACAAAGGCAGTGATTACATTTATGATCATTGCGACTGCTCATCACAGTGATTACAAGGCACAGAGCCACTCTGATTGGCTGTGTATTTAGCCTGTGATCTGCCATGTCTAATGACAGCTCAATCAGCCGCCGTGTGCGCTATCTGCGGCACCGTTTAGAAGGCCTCATTCACACTGCCGCGCGTATTGTACCATATGCAACCTATGCAAATAAATGGCTCCATACACACAGCCGCGTATGAAGCCGTATATTTGCGTAGCGTATATATGCGCAAAAACAGAATGGAACAGAGATGCGTCCGGGCAGCGTATTTCTGCGTATATACATGTCTATACGTGCGTACAGCACATAAAAAATTCCATTACGAGGGATGCATTCTGGGATTGCATATAGTGCACACATAGACGCGTATATACACAATATACAATTTTGCTTGCGTTGTGTGTGAATGAGGCCTAAAGGGCACTTCAGAAAGTTGAGCCATTTTTTTTTATGTGGAGGTAGTAAGGTGGCTAAACGGAGAGTATAATGGTTTCCTGTTCTGATTTGCTTCATGTTTATACAGAGTAGGGGAAGGGTAAAACCGTTGTCAACTTTTTATTGTTATCCCAGTTGATGTTGGAGATTTTCCCTCACTTCCTGTCTAGACAGTTGTCACTGGGACAGTAGCAGAAAAAAAAATATGGAGCCTCAGATGGCAAAAGAAACCTGAAAGCCTTCCTTACTGCATCAGACACTATAAATAAGAGGTTTTGTCCCCTGGAACAGTCACACTCACATTATATATTGCAGGCGGCTGAGCCACATTTCATCGCCACTAAAACTTGTGTTCTCCATACACTGGACACGTATTGGACAGACAGATTGTTTTATATCTGATCCCTGAGCAGTGTCTGGAGCCTTGATATCTCCCCGTCCCACCGATATATACTGTGATATCAGATACATGGGCGTCTGGACACAGAGTGAGGGCATTGCATCACGTGGGAATGTTGTGAAGACGATTTCCTGTGAGATCACACGGGGAAATTCATGTAAGTGAGCGAGTGATAATCAGAAGAGGGACTTACAGAGGTCGGTGCCCAGTCATGTCCATACACAAAGCAGTACTTGCAGTAAAGTTCATCAAATTCAGGAAACTGCGAGAAGGAAAAATAATACGTCAGATTGTACCCAGTGTGTGAACTCATTCCCATGGCAGGACCCCACTGAACCCCAAACTTCTACCCCTCTCCTCTGAACCCCAACTGTAAGAACCCCACCGCAGTACCCACACAGTGTAAGAACCCCAGCCTTCTACCCTCATCCTCTGTAATCCCAGTGTAAGAACCCCAACACTCTCTCCTCTGTACCCCCAGTGTAAGAACCCCATCCTTCTACCCCTCTCCTCTGTACACCCCACCTCCCCGTCCCCCCACCCCCCTCCCCTGTGAAATCATCACCCTCCCCTGTACCCCCAGTGTGCGCATCCCTTCAACCTCCTCTGTACCCCAGTGTGAAATGCCCATCCCCCTGCCAGGACCTCTCTGTACCCCAGCTCAGGATGGACAGGCCCGGCTGCAGCACTAGGCCTCACCTCGGCACTCTCGATCTGCCCGGTGACATTGAGAAGGAAGACGCTGGCAGCGGACGCCATAGACACAGACGAGCCCGGTACACCGGGGACACAGGTCACACACTCCGGTATAGGGAGGAATCAGACGCTCACACAAAACTTGCAGGGCGTTGCTATGGGACGCGCCGAGCTTAGCAACCGGGAGCTACGGCGAGCGAGAGGGACAGACCTCCCGAGGAAGAAAATCGCGAAGCCAGCCAGGCAGAATAGTCTCCTCTCAGACGGCTATGTGCAATGTGGAGGAAGACTCTATTATATTCAGTTATTTTTATGATTTATTTTAGAGGTGAGTATAGTCCATGCACACTTATAGCTAAACTACAAAGGGGTTCTGGATGAGGAGCACTTTCTTTTGCAATATATCTTACTGACACCAGTGGAGTGATGGGTGCACTTTTTCTTATTATATGTCTTGCATGTGGCAAATGACATATTAAAAACTGCCAAAGGCCCCTTTTAGAAAGTGGCATCACAATGGGGTTGCAGGGGGTGTGGCCCGCACACCGGGTGACACCAAAATGACTGACAGTCATTTTGGTGTCACTCCCTCTGAAAAGTCGGGTACTCGGTCATAGACCAAGAGCCCAACAGCTGCACGAGAGATGTGGGGACCCAGGGGCATACCTTATCCCAGCAGATAAACATGCCCTCCACTTTTTGCCGGAGTCCATCACCAAAGATGGTCGCCGGCAGTTAAATGACGTCAATTATATGCATGTGCGTGATGATGTCATCTGCATGCATAATGATGTCCCACTAGGTGACACCCGCCGGCCGCACGGGGTGACACCTGGCCTGGGGAGGTCTCTGCTTTCAGACAGTCCAAGCAGGTCAGCCTGTCAGTTTTTCAGGCTGATCTGATCCTTAGCCCAATGTTTTTCTATGGACAGCCGGAACTAAATGGACGTGGGTCAGTTTACATCTGGTTACCACCGACTCCTGTTTTGGTGGACCTGATTGTGACGGATCGGGGGTAATCTGATGTAAATGGACACATGTCTGTTTACATTCGACTCCCCATTGACCAACATGGAGTCAGGTAATTTCAGCTTTATCCTTCATTGCAAGATTGAGGAAAAACTGGACGGATACACCAGAGTCACCACAACAGTGACATCTATTCCGTACTACTCCAATCGGCATGGGGCTCCGTGCACTGGTTTCCTGCTGATCAGACCCCCATTGTAAAGATGCCAATATCTGTGGAACATTTGCTTTCCTAATTGGACATTAAGGGGTCTATTTATAAACAATACACAGAGCCATCTGCCCTGCAAATGTCTGTGAACGTTCGTTTTGTACCAATAGAGGCAAAAACTATTTTTTTTAGTATATTCTACAAATAGATCCTTATAGATCATTGCTGGCTTTTTATTCTTTGCATACCTTATTTTTATTTTCCTCCCCATTCTTCCCACAGCGGCCATTTTTACTAAGGGCAGATTGATATATCTCCCTTTACTTCCTGTAACTCTGGCACATGATTTCTGGCTAAGGTGACTAGGACATGTGACCAGGACATGTGACTAGGACATGTGACCATGCACATCATCTCAGGGGAGGAAAATGCCTTTCCCTGAGATCTCCTGAGATTACAGATGAGATTTCCCAGCAATGCTCTGCTGATGTAACCTTCCCAGGATGCAATGCTTGGGCATTTTTACATCATTTGTGCCAAAGAGGACCAGGAAGTAGAAAAACAGTAATTATAAGTAAAATAAAAATGTTTGCTTAACTAATGAATGTAAGATGATTTCATATCAGAATGCAGAGCTTTTAAGTCGAAGGGGGGTAAAGATCCGCTTCAAATGCTGAACCTTATCTCCTTTTTAAGCTCGTAGAATCTCATTTGTTATTATGTAACTTATAGCTAATTGGGGCTGTTTGTGATGTTTGAAACCAGGATAGCATTTGTTGCATATTAAGACAATGCTGTCTACATTTTAATGACTGTGGGGAAAGCTGGAGGAATTATTTTTGTATTTTTCTAAATAAATTAGCATATTTTAAAATAATTGCTTTGGGGGATATAGTCCGTGGTGTCATTTGCACTCTTCTTGGCTTGTTTCTTATTACTATAGATCAAGAATAGGCAACCTCGGCACCCCATCTGTTGTCAACCACTCCCATCATGCCTCTGGGAGTCATGCCTGTGGCTGTCAGAGTCTTTCAATGCCTCATGGGACTTGTAGTTCCACAACAACTAGAATGCCAAGGTTGCCCACCCCTGCAGTACAGGTTTCCTTATCGCTATGCTCATCCTGTAATGATCATTTTCCGCCACTAGATGGCGCTATTACATTATATTACACAGCGACTGTCCAATCCCCTGGCCCTTCCAGCAGAAGATAGAATGGGAGTAATGTAAGGAGAAATGTTAGTGAAGACCAGCAAGAGTACATATTATCACATTACATTCACTTTACTTTAAATGTGAGCTCCAGATGTCTGTGTACTGAAGTGTAAAACTCCAGCACTCCAATTTCCCAGCTGCTACCGTTATTATCATTGAATTGGAGTAGATGTTCTCTTGGCTGTAATAGTTATCATGGTGCTGGGTGTGCACAGAATAACAAGACTTCCTTTTTTGCTGTAAAGGTACCCCATAGACGCGACTGAATTCGGCTAAAAACATTCGGATGAGCCAACAATCTCTTGCCTGTGAGGTAAGCTTACCCGATTTTTCAAAATGAAATCCGAGGACACCCTACTGACCACTCCCACTGGTAACCACAAGCCGTCAAATTGCTCTAACAGTGGGAGCGGCTGAAGGTGCATGGTTAAAGGCTACGTTCACCTTTTAGGAAAAAAATTATAAATGCAAATTATTTTGCACAGTAGATTGCGGGTGCAATGCTCTGGCTTCTGCAGACCGTTCCTCCCACGTCACCGCACTTGTATTCCTTTGAAACTACAAATAAGCCCCTCTGCTGCGATGGCAGATGGGACTAGTTGTTCCTCCATCCAATTCAAAAGAAAGCAGCGGCCAGCGGGGAGAAGGACCCCACAATTTAGGTGAGGGGGGGCGGGTGCACCCGCGTTGCATTCCGTCCATGTTTCATGTTACACCATAATATGAAACATGGTCAGAAAAGTGAACTTAGCCTTCACATAAACCCTGAGCCTATTCTACTATGGGTTGAGCATGTGTAGCACACAGAATGCAGGAATCAGGAGGGTGTAACGCTCAGACTTCAGGGATCAAGAATGTGTAAAGCATGGGGTGTGGGGATCAGGAGTGTGTAACGCAGAACACGGGTCAGGAGTGCAGAGAGCAGGAATCAGGAGTATGTAACATGCAGAGTGCCGGGGTTAGGAGTAGCTAACACATGGAATAAAGAGGTCAGGAGCAAGAAATGTATGGAGTACAGGGCTCATGAGTAAGTATTGCATGGAGTACAGGGTTAATGAGTAGGTAACACATGGTGTACAGGGGTCATCGCTAGGTAACCCATGTAATACAGGGGTCATCAGTAGGTAACACATGGAATAAAGAGGTCAGGAGCAAGAGATCCATGTGGTACAGGGGTCATGAGTAAGTATTGCATGGAGTACAGGGAACATCAGTAGATAACACAAGCAGTACAGTGGTCATTGTTTGGGGGCAGTAGCAAGTAACACAGAGTTCAGAGCTCAGTAGTAAGTATCACCGAGTTCAGGGGTCAGTAGTAAGTAACATAGAGTTCAGGGGTCGGTAGTAAGTAACACAGAGTTCAGAGCTTAGTAGTAAGTAACACAGAGTTCAGGGGTCAGTAGCAAGTAACACAGAGTTCAGAGCTCAGTAGTAAGTAACACAGAGTTCAGGGGTCAGTAGTAAGTAACACAGAGTTCAGGGGTCAGTAGTAAGTAACACAGAGTTCAGAGCTTAGTAGTAAGTAACACAGAGTTCAGGGGTTAGTAGCAAGTAGCACAGTTCAGAGCTCAGTAGTAAGTAACACAGAGTTCAGGGGTCAGTAGTAAGTAATACAGAGTTCAGAGCTCAGTAGTAAGTAACACAGAGTTCAGGGGTCAGTAGTAAGTAACACAGAGTTCAGGGGTCAATAGTAAGTAACACAGAGTTTAGGGGTCAGTAGTAAGTAACACAGAGTTGAGAGCTTAGTAGTAAGTAACACAGAGTTCAGGGGTCAGTAGTTAGTAACACAGAGTTCAGAGCTCAGTAGTAAGTAACACAGAGTTCAGGCATCAGTAGTAACAGAGTTCAGGGGTCAGTAGTAAGTATCAGAGTTCAGGGGTCAGTAGTAAGTAACAAAGAGTTCAGGGGTCAATAGTAAGTAACACAGAGTTCAGGGGGTCAGTAGTAAGTAACGTGAGGTTAAGGGGTCAGTAGTAAGTAACACAAGGTTAAGGGGTCAGTAGTAAGTAACACAGAGTTCAGGGGTCAGTAGTAACACAGAGTTCAGGGGTCAGTAGTAACACAGAGCTCAGGGGTCAGTAGTAACACAGAGCTCAGGGGTCAGTAGTAACAGAGTTCAGGGGTCAGTAGTAAGTAACAGAGTTCAGAGGTCAGTAGTAGGTAACAAAGAGTTCAGGGGTCAATAGTAAGTAACAGAGTTCAGGGGTCAGTAGTAAGTAACGTGAGGTTAAGGGGTCAGTGGTAAGTAACACAGAGTTCAGGGATCAGTAGTAAGTAACACAGAGTTCAGAGGTGAGTAGTAAGTAATGCAGAGTCCTAGAGGAAACCATCACAACATGTGCAAAACTGGCTGTATATGACTGCGGTTCACTTCCGCTAGGGAAATTTGTTGACAGACCTCTTAAAACAGGAACTGTCCCTGGCAAACAGGGACTAATGGCAACCTTACTGTGAGGTCTATGTCTTCTTAGGGGGGGGAGAGCCACTGAACTGATCTGTCCAATTGCACTAAAAAAAAAACAGAATCAGAGTCCTCAGCAGCTTATCTCACCCCACGGCACCAAATGGAAATCTTTAGCCACGACTACGGTTGGTCGGATTGTGACTGCTCCTTCACAGGCATGGAGGTGACCAAGCTGTATTACTTAACTGCAGAAGATAAAAGGCAGGTCACCAGCTCGGTCGTGTCATCTGCTGCGTATATCTCAGGACAGTCCGGACCAAATAATTTGGCTTTAAAGTCACAGTGTACTGGGTGAAAAAATAAAGAGTAATTGAGCATTGCTTGCGTATCGCCAATGA